CTCTACAATTATCTCCTCCCCCCCAAAAAAAAGTTGTTATCATCTGTATTAAACAACTCTCAATGAAATAGGGCCTTTATTTCAATTCCTACATGGCTTCGTTAGAAACAGTGAGAAAACTAGATAAATTTTGAGGTTTATAATTTTCTTAACTTTAAAGGGACACTGTACATTCTGACTATATAGTGAGAACTCAGGTTTCAAATGAAGGCTCTGAGAAAATGTAATCAAGTCTGAAGAGAAAACAAAGGTTTAATTACACCTACCTGCCAGATGTCCTCACCATTCATTTAGCTAATGGTTAGTGAGCCCCATACCAGTGCTGGAATGTGGAGTGAACAAGACAGGCAGAGCCCCCAAAGTGGATTCATGTACATGGACCCTACAAATGCATGATGAAGTTGCAAGATGAAAACAGAGAGATTATGATAGATCCGCATAAAGAAATATCAAAAGAAGAAGTAGGATTTCAGGAATCAGTATATATTACCCAACCTGGGGGTCAGGAGATAGAATTAAGAAAAGTCTATCCCAAATGAACAAGTGTTTGAAATCTAATGCATGGCTTGGTTCCTATAGTTAATGATAATGGACTGTGTATTACAAAATTGCTAAGAGAGTAAACTTCAGATGTCCTCACCGCAAAAAATTAATATATGAGGTGATAGTTAATTAGCTTGATTCACTAATCGTACAATGTATACATGTATCAGATCATCACTCTATTTCATAAGTATATACAATTATTATATGTCAATTAAAAAGCTTTTTAAAAAAAGAAATGCTAAAGGAAATGTTTTGGCCCAAAGAGAAATGACGTGATTGTGTATGGAAATTTGGATCCGCCAACACATGTGTGAATAGCATCAAAAACATAGAATATCTGGATGAAAGGCAGAGGCAATTTTTCCCCTTTCCACTGAATTTCTCTGTAAGCCATTTACATGGTTAAAAATAATAACAAATCAAAACAGAGGATAGAAAAATATGTAAATATGAGCCCCTTTCATGGGGGAGCTTGGGATATAAAACATGGGCCTGTATTAATAGAATGGTATAACATCAGCCAAAAGGAACTACCCTTGAGACACAGGTGGTCCAAGACACATTTCCCCTGGCCCTTCCTGAGTAGAGAGGGTGGCAGGATGAAAGGAATTCCAATGGCTGGGGAAGTGACCCCCTTGCCCTTGGCTCCTGGCCAGTCTGGGGGTTGTGACTGACTTTTCACTCACTGATGAAGGCTGAGCCCCCACTGGGACCATTCTTGCCCTCCCTACCTGCCCGTTCTGACCCTATTAAGAAACTCTTCCACCTTAAACACACAGATAACGCCTCA